TCTTATGTAATGATAGGGATACTATTTCCACCCTGGAAAAATCTGGTGTATACTCCGTTCCCTTGCAGAATCCAATATCAGGAATATGCACCAATTATATAGGAGCGACCACCAGAATGCTTGCTACCCGTATATCTGAACACCAACGTTCGGTGGCACTTGGCAATTGCGACACGGAACTTTCCAAATTGGTGATACAACAACATCACATAGCGCTTTGGAATCGGGTGGAAATACTCAAACGCTGTGATGAAGGGAGCTTAATATATATTTGGGAGGCCATCCTCACAAAACTGCTCTCCCCGTGCAACTCCCCCACCCTTGAATTGCCGGATATCTGGATTAATATATACAGGCAGTTAAAAAATCAATAATAATTTTGCATTCCTTTCCCCCATCTTCTACATGACTCAAAGCGCATACGTGTCGGCCTCGTTATGTCCCATGTTTTAGTCTTTAACATTTAAATATTAATGCAAACTAGCACTTACGGATCTATTCTGCTCAATTTCTCAGTCTATGTTAAGGCGCATGCGTGCCAAAAAATTTTATACGTATTTACAAAAGTATTTGTTTTTAACTTTTAATTTTATACGTATTTACAAAGGTTTTGTCTTTAACTTTTAGTTTTAATTTAAAATGTAAAATTTATTTATTCTTAATCGCCATCCTAATTGGATATTATGTAATGCATGTTAAGGTGCATGCGCGCCAGTGTTTTGCGCGTTTATAAAATAATTAATAGCCATTCTTATCGAAATTTAAAACGCATGCGTGCCAATTTTAAATATTTTTAAATGTTTTAATTCTAAAATTTAATTCTTATTTATAATTAAAAAACGGCTAATATCGTTAATGTTCAAATTCAAATGTATGATTCGAATTCTCTATTCGTTTGATTTGCCTGAGGACGACGTGCATATTTACGTCGAAAGCGCTCGCAAGAATAAAATATATTAATTGTGTTTAACGCCTTAGTGTCTGAAGTTTTTGAAGAAGCTTTAATTAAAATAAAAGTTGGCGTGACATCCAACCTCTACGTTTTTACTACTCCTAACAAGATTCAATTCTTGATGATAACTCTTGAAAATGTCGAAAATTTTTGAAATATTTTATTAAGTGTGGTTTTTCTAAAATTTAACACCAACAAATTATCTTATTGTCTTCATAATTATTCATTATTCTGTTTATTTACTAGCAATAATTAAAATAATTCCATTGATTAAAATAAATTTCCTCTTAGATTTAAAAATTCATTTATGTAAGATATGTTGACATATGCTATATGATATGATAATTGGATAATAAATATGCAATGAAGAAGTATGTTATAGATTATTACTGTCACTTATAAATGAATAAGTTGAATAATAAGTTAAATACCACTATTTAAAAAACTTTTAACGACAATGAGATCTTTTAGATCCAAAACAGATCAGTAAATTTCTTGATTATATTTCAGATATGTTTATGGAAAAAAGGTTGATGGAAGTGCAATTTTCAAAATTAGCATTAAGAATGAGATGGGAATTATTGAAATTGGGCTTACTAAAACAAAACAAGTAAGTAGAAATTGTGAAATATTATGAAACTAACTTTTAAATTATTCATTTTAATCAAAAATTTAAAAATATTTTTAAAAAATTGATTTGTTTTGTTTAATATTGTAAAATCTGCAAGTATATATATAGACACACAATCCAGATTAGGTAACATAAAATACAATTATTTATTAACTCGCTAGTCCAAATACAGGATTTCATAGGATACCAACAATTCTAGTTGTCCCCTTTTCCCGAACCGAACATCCGATTAACTAAAATTATCTTACTTAATACTAGGTTCCTATTATTACTAAACTAATTGAATATAGCCGGCTTATTCGAAGATTTTGAAGGTGAAAGAAAAGAATAAGGAAAGAGGGTACCCAAAACTTGATGATGCATTTTGAAGTGTGTGGGCTCATGGATGAGGCACTCAATTCTTGTTTCACACTGAGATATTAATCCAAAAGGGGCAATCTGTCTGGTTCCTCTCATTTAAGTTCCTTTTTCTTCCTCTTGTTCTAAAGTTCTCTATTTCTCATCTCACCATACAATGTCCAACTTACAGGGGAGGCTTTCCTTTCGATCTCCCCTATCCACTTCCTTCCTCTCAGTCTCCCGTCCTTTCCCTTCTCCCCTCACTTCCCATCTCCCTCGCTTCTCCTCTCCCCTAACTCACTTCGTTCTCCCCCTTCTTAACTTCCCCTTGTTCCTCCTCTCACCTTAGTCCACTCATATCCCCTCTCAAAAGCTTTCCATTCATTCCTTTCCTCTCAGTCCACCCACACACTAAAGTCAATGGGAAGACAGTAACTTGATAGAAGAGTAAACAAATAGGACAGATGAAGGTGAAGTGAAGATATATAGATATATATATATATATATACAAATACGGTTTAAAATATATATATAGTTTAAAATATGGCGTTCAGCCACAATATAATGAGATTTAATTACTTAAAACAAAAAATTTAAGTTATTTCATAAACTCATTTTCTGAAATATTTCTGTCCCTATTATGTTTTTACAATCTTAACTAAAAGTATTTAAAAATTTTGGGCTGTTCATTTTCAGTTAATTCATAACAAATTCTCTTAATATATTTTTAAAGAGATTTCTAGATAATCATCTTAATCCATGATGAAGCAGTTTTTTATTTAAACATACAATGGAAACTTGATTATCCAGACTTGATAGGACCAGGGGTTTGTTGGATAAATGAAATTTTAGATAATTCAGAAACTTGTGTTTTGTATGCTTCAAGCATTGTATATTTGAAATTTCATAAACTATGCAAAGGTTGATGAATATACTGTACTGCAATTATTGTATTTGAAAGTAAATTAATTTACTTAAAATCTAACATAATGTTATGTATATGACCTAGTTTCATGATGCTACATTTGACAGATAACATAGTAATTTCTAGTTACATGAAAATTCTAGTCTCTGTGTATTGTGTATATATACATTCTACTTTTTTATTGTTGTTTTTGTTTTTTGAAAACCATTTTGGATAATTGAGTTTCTGTTTTATTTTAAACAAAATATTGCCTTATATTGAAGTATGGATGCCTTCTATTACAACAGTTTTAACTGAACTGTCATTGTAAGGTTTAACTAATAAAGCAAAGCTTTGAAATTTCACAATTGTGGATAACTTTATTCAAGCAATTTAATTTATAATTCAAATTTTTCTTTTATTGCATATTCATGCCGTTCACTCAATTGTTTTTTTTTAATATATTTGGGGATATATTAACATTTATAATGTTTTTTTCACACTTTAGAACATCTTTTATTTTAAATTCAATTTCCATATTCCATCTATGCGCACCACTTATTTTCATAAGTTTGTTCAAAAGCTAATTGTTTGAAAAATATTTGTATTTGATATTTGCCTGAAGATGGTAGCTTTATGCTACTGAAAGTACTAGCAAGCACCTTTTATGCTCTAAATAGTTGAAAACAGTAACATCATAACACTTAAGTGTATTTATTTTACATGGTTAAATGTAGGCGTGAAGTGTAATTCATTTTAATAAAGCAAATTAGTAAAAAGTTTTAAATAATTAAATTTATCTTCATATTTTCTTGAGTATTTAAAATATAAAAAACTGGTTTCAGAAGCCAGGCACTATAATAAAATAATAATAAATAAAAAACAATTGCAAAAAATTGCAATTTTTCCATCTCAATAAATTTTGAATTATACAGTACGATTGTAAAGTCTTTCTGCAGTGGGTTAAGCCAATGTAACTCAGCTGAGTGGTGACATCATAACTTTAAATTTGTTGAATATTTTGTGGTTTAATGTTTTATTGATTAAGTACAAAAAGTATCTAAGTTCTGTATGTAACGCTCAATATTTTTTTGCTTTAGTCTTATAAATTTTAAAATCTGACAGCCCTGATGCCAAGTAATCCATTCCTTTCACTTTTGGATTGATTACTAAGAAATTTTTTGTCTTCTAATAAACACCTTTACATTGATCTTTGTTTTAAATTTTTAAAATTTATTTTAAGAATTTTTATCTTAAATGATCAAATAAGAATTAATGCATTTAATTTTGATGACCACTAACAAGCAAAGTTGTAAATATAGTCAGTTATAATCACAATATATACCAAGAACAGAACATATATTAGAAAAATTGTCTTGATTTTAAAGCATTAAATTTAAATTCTGAAAATATGTTGACTTTTCTATAATTGTATTCCCATGTAAGTTTTTATATGATTAAAATTTGTAAAGAAGATCCTTAGCAATAAAATTATTAAAAAACTTATTTTAAATATTTTTATTTTCACAGTTATTTGTTTCAGAACAGTAATTCGTAAGTGGAAAAAATCAATATAATTCCCCAGAACACAAATGGTATATGTAACATCACAAATACATATAACATATATACATTATAACATTAGAAATGGAAAATGGTTTATGGAAATTTTAATGAAAGGTTTTTAATAAATTTAAGAACTCATTTCTTATTAAATGCTTAAGATAGAAAATATGTGTTTTATTTCAAATACATAAAAATTTGTGTTGTGTACACAGAATTTATGCATGTTTATATCAAAAGTACCTTCTTAATCTATTTTCTCTTAAATAGAAAACTATATAACTAAAAAATTTTTGTAATACATTTTTTAATAGGTTGATCAAGGCGAATCAAAACTTTCATTTAATCTTGATGAAATTATAAAGCATCCACAGATTAATAAATTTCCACAGGGGAGTAAACTGGTTGTAGAAGTTTCTGTTGTTGATATGGCCACAGGAAATAAAGAAATTGCTCGTGACGATTATTGTGAATTTGCAAAATCACCTTATCTTATTTCATTTAAGAATTCTCTGAAGGATTTCAAACCAGGATTGATATCAGCTATTACGGCAAGTACATATTTTGATTTTAAGCAATAGTTAAAATATTATAAAATTAAATAATATATTTAATGTTTATAATTTAAAAAATGTTTATTTGGAAATTATTTGTAAGATAATGAATAATTTTTAAAATTATAAAAAATATTATAGGCTGATATTACTTATGTGAATGGGAGACCAGCAGCAAATGTTCCAACTTACATCAGTGTTATAGATTCTAATAATAATCTGATAGAAGTTGCTAAACCAAAGTACATAAGTGATGAAAATGGACATACCTTATTCCATATTAACACTCCAATTGGACCTGACTTTTTTACTGTTACGGTAAGATTTAATTTATATATTTTTTATGGCAGCTTTGGTTTTTTAAATGAATTGAATTTTTTATGTTCAAATTGATTATAATCAGTTTGAATGTAATTCAATTGATTATCAACTGAAAGTTAAAAAAATTGATTATAATCAGTTTGAATGTAATTCAATTGATTATCAACTGAAAGTTAAAAAAAAACCAATATAATGTAAAAGTTAGTATAGTAGGTTTTTCATTTTTTATGATTTTTTTTAAACTGCTCTTAATGTCCACAGGGTAGAAAGAGGGCTTTTTTTCAGGCTACTGTGGGTTTAACTAGTCCCACAATGCAGTTAGGTGGTGAGGGATGGGTATATCCAAGTCATCTCCTGAAATATGCTTGGGCTTTTTGATTGTTCAGATTTGATTCTGATTCCCAGAGTGGTAGGCTGATGCCTTAACTGCCTTGGCCATTTGGCTGGCAATATTTCATATATTAGAAAATGTCAGTAAAAAATGTTCAATAAGTTTTCAATTAGTATTAATATCATATTTATGGTATAAGGCTAGCATTGCACATTTTATTATTAATTATATCTACATTAAAATTTAACTAAAGCCAACGATTTTAGCTGTTTTTATGTAAAAGTAATTTGTTGGAAATTATTTATCATTAACTAATATTACATATTTTTCAAAATTTGTATTATAAACTTTTTAAGGTGACAACAAACGATACAAGATATAAGCCTGATCAGCAGTTTTCAGCAAAACATGTTCTTCTTAAATCTGTTTCTAAAGGTTATATTGCAATTTCAAGAACTGAAGGAACCAGAAAAGTAAAGGTGAATAAATTTAAAACACTTTTGCAATTAACATTAATTATGATTAATCCTAAAAGCTGCATTTTATTTTCTTTATATATAAATCACTAATTTCTATAAGTTAAGGAACAAATTGAAATTTGAAGATATATAAAACAAATGTAATTATTTTTGACATAGTATATAGCACATGAATATATATGCATCTGTTATGAAAATGCTTATCAAACCATAATATTAATAAAAGATTGAAAAATTATTTAGTTGATTTGCAGAATAATAGTTCTTATTTCTACCAGATAAACTGCCTCCAAAGGATTCTGAAAAGTAAATCAAAAATCCATTTATATACTGCTTATATATACTGATAGACAACCTGTATTTACCTATTAATGAAAAATTAAAACAACTAGACATTTCACAATGTACCCTGTTTACAGTACTATATTACAACAGTCTTTACCTCTCACTGTGAGTAGAAGTAGTTTATTTCTGAACACACTGTTTTTACACAACATATGGAAAGACAACTGGAATAGGGTTGTACACACTGTGGTCTATTCTTATTTTACCTGTCAGGATACATTCAAATGAGGGGAGCTCTGATTGGTTTCTTGTAGCTGGTGAATTTGCCAAACTTTGTGTAACTTTCATTGAAACCTAGTAGAAGAACACAGCAGTAGCATGCAGTCTATGGAAGCTGTGGAAGCATGTGTATTTTCCAAAAACATTCCAAAAATTCAAAAAAATTTTCAAGTTAAGGACCGTGTTTTATGTAACGCTATGTAACCTGCCCGAGATATCTCGGGCCAGGAACTAAAGTGGATTAAATTAACTCTTCACATCCAGATGTCAGTGATTTGTTTTTAGAGTGAGCTTTTGCAATTCGGGGATTCCCCTTGTACATGATACTTACCATCGACAAGTCGCTATTACATCATTCTGAGTTTCGCATTGAAAGGTATAAACTGTAATTGTTTTGAAATTAAATTTTATTTTATCAGTGTTTTGTTCATTTTTATAATAAGTAGCGAGTTTAAATTTTGCTAATTTCAAGTTGCAGTAATAAGCAGTCTATTTCTTTTAATTTCTGCAAACTTTTTTATGTGGTTTTAAGTTAATTTTAACTTGTTGTTTTGGTTTTATGCGATTTTAGAAAATTACAGAACGTATCCCTACTTTTTCAAGGCAAGTAAAGTCTTTTTTTTATGAGAAAATCCCTTAACTCACAAAAACATGGCTCGATGCGGATGGATGGGAACATGGATTCAAAATCACAAACAGTGAAATATACGCAAGCTGTCAAGTGCATTCAATCTGTGAATCAACTGTACCGGATTGGACACAGTACACGGATATTCCTCGATGGTGCTGGTTACAAAGGAGTTAAGCATGCGTTCTATAAGTATAGTCGGAGATCTCGACTTGTCGACGACCGGATGTAGTTGTTTACTGTCTTTATGGAGTTTGGCGAAAGCGAATAAGCGTGGTGCAATCGGCGTCGAAATAGTTGCCTTAGTTCTCTTTAGTACTCTAGCCAATGGTGAGTTGGTCATACATGCAACCCTTGCTTGAGTCCTTTCCAAAAATCCGCTGGGGGCCTTAGTGCATTCAGTGTTGCTGATGTATTCATGCAAGCCGTTTCTATATGTATCCCTTTTCATAAGAACAATGCTCCTGGATTTATCCGCCCTCACAGCGACCACATCATTATGACTCATCCATCGTCTAGAATTATGTATGGCACTCGCATATGATCGTTCATCGTGTGCGTTGTGGTTATAGAAATCGAAGAAAACCTTCCATCGGAAGTATTCTTTATGCGTGTTGCCAAGACCTTCCACCATCCTCTCAACATCCGGTATAACCTTAGTAAAGTCCACCGGAAGGGAAGGAGCAAACGCAGGGCCCAATCCTACTACGTTAACCAGCATGGGTGGAGGTTGAATGCCATCCCAACATACAAGAGAACCCTGTATTCGGTTTTCCTCTCATAAAAATAATTTTCCAATCGGATAACGTTGCCCACTAATGCATACCTTCTTCTCCTAGCATATCTTATCGCTTTTATTAAACAGATGCGCCTAACCACAGGTAGTTTCGTAGAACAGTCAGGAGGCAAACATATTCTATAAATTGAAGCAGGAAATAATCCCAACGAACGGCAATTAATCAGAAAGGCTAACTTGGAAGAAGTCCTGCATAACTTCACAACAGCTTTTCGATAGTATTTGGCCGGCGTAGCCATATCTAAACAATCATTCATCATACTGGTGTGATAATTAAGAACCTAACCACAAAATTACCAATATACCAGCAAAATTCAATTTAAAAACGAACGTTTTCTACCGTCTTCACCGGTCATCTTCAGGTTCGATTCCAAGATTTCAAAAAAATCGAACATCGCAATTATGCGCATGTCCGATGCAGGGCCTTAATAAAATTATTCGTGTAATTGGTTTCCTGCTTCAAAAATCCGATGTTTATATTATAGTGTAGACATATATGGTGCGCATCCATTATACGTCATAATAGTGTAGACATATATGGTGCGTATCCATTATACGTCATAATACCAGCAAAATTCAATTTAAAAACGAATGTTTTTAAATTGAATTTTGCTGGTATATTGGTAATTTTGTGGTTAGGTTCTTAATTCTCACACCAGTATGATGAATGATTGTTTAGACAAAAATACACTATTCGTAAATGATTTCCTACAGAAGAAAAAAAAGTGGGTAAACATGGGTAAAATTCAATAAATAAATAAGCAATTACCTATAATCAGCATTAATTCTCTTATAAATGAATGTTTTCTTCCATCTGTAATGGTTGTCATCAGGTTTCTATGCTTTGGAATGTTGTAAAAGAACGCATCTTCCAAAAATTCAAAAATTGCATGCCTTGAAGATACGTGCATGCTCAATGTAGCTCTTTAAAAAAATAAATCTTCAAATTGGCTTCCTATTTTAAAAATTCGATGTTTATATAAATTATAAAGATAAACTAGATGACGATCTATTTTACATCAAAATATGCCCTCCACGTAGCCACCAGCAAGTCCATTTCTTTAAAATTGATGGCTGTTTCCCTCTTGAACGTTTTAAATATTTCCAGCTGTTCAAGATATTTTAGGCTGGCCTGGTCCTCGCATCGTTGTAGTAATTGTGCACCCTGACATCGTTATCACTGGCATAAGAAGACAATGCTGTAGTGGAAAGACCTTTTTGAATGTAGTATTTATGTTCCTTGATCCTTCTTTTAAGACAATGTGCAGTAGCACCAATATATTCACCAGGATGGTTCACTCTATGATCGTAAATAGGGATAGAATATACACCTGAGATATTATTTCGATCCAATTGGTCCTTATCATTTCTTAAACAAGAGAAAACCATTGGAGATCCTATTACTTGTAAAGTGGGCTATTTGTTGTTGTTGTTAGTAAGGATCTTGCTGTAAGTAATAGATAAAAAAGACTTGTCTTCCGTAAGTGCTGTTTCCGCTGGTTGTTCCTGACGTGCAACCAGATCATTAATTAGATGTGCTGGGTAACCATGATACCTAGCTTCACTTGAAAGTATAAACAAATAGCCCGCTTTACAAGTAATAGGATCTCCAACAGTTTTCTCTTGTTTAAGAAATGATAAGGACCAATTGGATCAAAATAATATCCCAGGTGTATATTCTATTCCTATTTACAATCATAGAGTGAACCATCCTGGTGAATATATTGGTGCTGCTGCACATTGTCTTATAAGAAGGATCAAGGAACATAAATACTACATTCAAAAAGGTCTTTCCACTACAGCATTGTCTTCTTACGCCATTGATAACGACGTCAGGGTGGACTTTGATAATGCACGATTACTACAATGATGCTAGGACCAAGCCAGCCTAAAATATCTCAAACAGCTGGAGATATTTAAAGCGTTCAAGAGGGGAACAGCCATCAATTTTAAAGAAATGGACTTGCTGGCAGCTACGTGGAGGGCATATTTTGATGTAAAATAGATCATCATCAAGTTTATCTTTATAATTTATATGCATGCATGTATCTTCAAGACATACATTTTTGAATTTTTGGAAGATGCATTCTTTTACAAACATTCCAAAGCATAGAAACTTGATGATGACTGTTAAAAATGGAAGAAAACGTTCATATATAAAAGAGTTAATGCTGATTATAGGTAATTGCTTATTTATTTATTAAACATGGATGTTTTCGTGTAATCTTTGAACGTGATGCAGTAATTTTTCTTACTTATATTGGCAACACTGCATATAAGTTGAAATCATATGAATGAAAAATATATAATTGAAGTATTTTATAATGGAGAACATTTTTTATGTATAATTATTAAAAACAAACAACTGAGAAACATGTAAACAGAGTTTGACTGTAACATTTTTAAAATTTATAATTAAAGCTCAATAAAATTTAATAAAAACAAACTATTTATTTTAGTTCCAGCAAAATACTTCTATAACGTTTCAACTTGAAGAATATGGTAGGTGATTCAATGAAGTAAATTATTTTAGTATTTCTATTCTTTAATTACCATAATTTTGTTTATAGTTTTGCCAACATTTACTGTGGAACTTGAAACACCAAATGTCATTTTACCTCAGCACAAAACTGTTGATATTGCTGTTAAAGCAGAGTAAGTACTTTAATGAAGTATTATAAAAAGTATCTGTTTATGATTCTTTTATTATGATTACTTTCTATATGAATTTAAATATCTATTAATCACTACTAATCTAACAAGTAAAATAAGTTAAAAATAACTGCAAATTTATCATTGGAGCAGAATTTCTTTTATTTATCCTCATATTTATTAATTAATTAAGCATTACTTAAAAAGCAATGAGAAGCTTTCCCTTTTTAACATTAATATTTTAGGTGATTGTAAATAAAGTATCCTTATTCAGTGCTGTGTAGAGATATATTTAGTAGTTGAAGTGCAAGCACTAAAATCTGATATGGTAACATTTCAGGACATGTAAAAGACATTTTTATAAAAATGTTAATACCAAAACTTACTACTATGGCACCTTTGGCATTACAAGCAACAAAAAAGGAGTTTCCTTTGTATAAGCACATATGTTACAGGCAAGTTCTGGATATAAAAGGGAACAAAACTATTTAATTTAATTCTTATCAGGTATGATGGTCATTATCTTGCCAGATTGCACATTTATTGTGAATCTGTTTCATAAAAGCATCTGCAATACTGCAGTTACACTTTGAGAATTTTAATGCCAAATGATTGCTGGATTACATCAGATTATAATAATGCTACTATTTAATAATTAAATGCCAAATAATTTGGCCTAGATGTAGGCATTAGGCAAGCATCTCTTGATAAATGTAATAATTATTATTAAATTAATATTTAATTCTTAATTTAGTTTTCCTCAGTCAGTGCCATGAGTAACCAGTATAGTTATATCTAAATTAATAATTCTGGAAGTGAAGATTGAATGGAGGTCTGGATAATGTAACTGACAACACTTCTTCATGGCAAGTTTAGTTGTAGGTTAAAAATCAAAAGAGACTTGTTGGTAACAGTTTTTTGGTTTTGATTTATCCCAGTTGTGTATTCAAAAGAAAGAAAAGTAGAAATAAAAATATATATACATTTACATTCATGTTACTTTCATGGCTGTGCTTACTTTGTCTTCCAAGGCCATAACCTGTTAAGATTAATTAACACAACTGCATGCAAGTATCAACAAAATTAAAGTATAGAATTTATTATTGATAGAATAAATTAGAATGGGAATACACAGATACTCAGCAAAATTCCCATCTTAACGGTTTTTTACAGAACAAAGAAGAAAAAGCAACTGTTGTGAACAGAGGCAAACCCAAATTACAAACTTAAGTGTTCATTTGTTAACACCAACTTTCTTGACTATTCTGAACAATTTTATACAATAATGAGTTTAGATAAATGAGAGTAAACTATAAGATCAGGTAACTCATTACTTATAATTTTAAAAATTTCTAATTTATTAAATTACGTAATTAGTCCAAACATAATCTAGAGTTTTGAAAATCTTTGATGATTATTTTTTTATTGAATTTTTCTGTAAGAATTAAAATTATCATGATATATTTTTAAAAAATTGATTTTTTTGAAAATAACATAGTAAAACAAGTAAAACGTATTTTAAATGATTTATTTGTAAAATACAATTTAATTTTTTGAAAATGTCTACACACTTTTATAAAAAAAAAGTAGTAAAATATTAACACACGCAACACTGAATCATATTCAAGGAGTCCAGAAAAACTTTATTTTTTAAATGTTCTCAGGAATATTCTTCCCATCTTCAGCATAAGGTTTGGTGTTGGGTATATTAATATAAATGTGAAGTCATCATTTACTAGTTACCTTGAATAAAATATTTTAATTTTTTACATTATATATTGCCATTAAGTAAGCACATAATCATCTGAATTATGTAATCATGAGACTTTTTGTATTCCTTTTCATCATTAAATGCTATTAAATAATTTAATTTTAACATACTTAGAATTTGACCAGATATGTTAGTATGTTTAGAATANTTTAATTGTATTTTTATTTACATTTGAAAACATCTGATAATGTAGTGGTAATCAGCATATATACCAAACAGAACTAAACACCAATTTAATAGAATAATAATAGCTTATTTCATATAATTTTGATGGTTACATTTGTATGATAGTATATGCCTTGAAGAAAAAATGGGTAAAAATGAAAAAAAAGATTATGATATTGTAATGTAGAAGTAAAGTTTATTAAACTTCACAACTGTATTAGAATGAATGGCACTAGCCTTTGAATGAATGCACAGCATGAATGAAACGAAGAGAAAGGAGACTGTTATCTACAAACCATCCTATTGAAGTGTGCAGGAATTTCAGTCTTACTTCACTAGTGATTAGGATATTTTCTTTTGAAAATATTGGCCAGTGATCATTGAATATTTCCTCTCATAAATTGGGAAAAGGAGTAAAATTTGTTATAATGAATTTTTGCATACTGAATACTTGTAAATTGAGGTCTTGTTACATATAATAGTAATTTTAAAATGTACTTTTCTTAATAATACAGTGGAACCTCGTTTAATGAGCTCCTCGCATAATGAGTGTTTCGTATAACGAGCAAAACAAACTGTAAAAAATTACCTCGCTTAACTAGCGATGTTTTGCGTAACGAGTGACGAGGAGACGGAAAGTGCTGAATTGTGCGCATGCTCCATCAGTATGTGTTTAGCACTTGTTACGCTAGCATCTTAGAGTAGCTTGTGATCACATATTTTCCCAAACTTCTGTTCACACATATTACTTTTAAACATCAACAACCATAGCCCGTTATGTAATAAACATGCCAAATGATATACCAAATTCTTGGGCTATGTAAAGGCTATAATTAAATATTAGAAATTAATTAATTTGACTAGAGGTAGGCAGTTATGCTGCCATCTTGTATTAAATTTAGTGATCAATTCCAAATTAAATTTTAGAAATGTCTGAATTAAAAATTAACTATTTATAATTATTAAATTTAATACGAAATGGAAGCATAACTTTCTACTTCTAGTCAAATTAATTAATTTCTATTATTTAATTATAGTCTTTACATAGCCCAAGAATTTGGCATATTGTTTGGCATGTTTATCAGACATATTAGCTGTGTTTTTTTTTTTTTTTTTTTTTTTTTTTTTTGTTTTCTGCAAACTGAATTCTCATTTCAGGTTGGTTCATTGCACACTAGAAGAAAAGATTATGATGATTCACGTTCCTTAACAATGCACACTGTACAATGTTCTTTGAATAAACGTTATACATAAAATATTTTAGTATTTTTTTGGCGTGGAATGCATTATCATATTTTATGATAATTTCTATGGGAAAAATTGTTACGCTTAACGAGTGTTTCACATTACAAGTATGATTCTGGAACGAATTATGCTCATTAAGCGAGGCTCCACTGTATATCAATACTAAAATGCATTGGTTTTATTTGGAGGTTTCTTTGATTGAATCTTATTTTATGTTCAAATAAATCTATCTTCCTTAATTATCACTCTAATCCCAAAATTATAATAAGGTTAAAGTGACTTAATAATAAATTAAATAAATAGAAATTAATAAAGGAGAAAATCAATTTCATGGAGTCCATAACTATTTATTGATTGTGGGTTACTTTTTCAAGTATCCAGAGATGGCAAAGCTGAATGACAAAACTGCACAATCTGTTATCAAGACATGTAAACAAAATTTTTCACAATTCAGAATTTCAGAAGTGAAGATTGCAATACCGCCTTTGTATAATTTTTGATTTCTTTGAGTTGATTGACTATCTCTTGTTTCCGTGAATCATTGTTAATAAAATACTGTAATGAACTAATATATTAATCTAAACAGTATAATTGTATTTTATTATGATATGCACACACAATAACTGATTATAATATACATATGTATGTGATATAGGTTTATGCACATCATTGGAAATGGTACCCCATTATTTTTAATGTTTGAGTTACTGTTTCATCTTATAAATGGAATCACAAAATAGAACTCTATTGTAAGTTGAGGATTACCCAAATAATGAAAATATTCAAAAACTTATTTTACCAGATTAAAAAATGTACTTACATAGTACAATTCAAGAAAAAAAGATACTGTATATATATATTATCTATTAATTTATTTCAGGTTGAAATCAAGACAGATTTTCGTACTACTGAACCAGGTCACAATGGAAAGTTTATATTAGAAGGAGAACCTGACACTAAAGTCGGAATACTTGCTGTAGACAATGCTGTTTATGCCTTGAGAAATAAAGACAAGTTAACAAAGGAAAAGGTAATTTTTGTATCAGTACAGAAATATTTCAATTTTATNAAATTACTAGTATTTTTGTTGTTAATAAATATTTTAAAATCAAAAAGACAGTTTGTGTAATTCTGCATATTGAGTTCAGGAAATTCTTCCAAATTGAATTAGTGTGTAATAATTGTAAAATTAGTGTGTAATAATTGTTTATATATGAAATATTTTATAATAATTATTTAAAATATTTTAGGTTGGTGACAAATTCACAGCAACTATATTTACTGTTCCTCCAGAAAAATTTGAAAACTTATTCTTTTTGGTAAGAAAATCTATAATAATATATTTTAATATATTGAAACATTATTTTGAAAATTTAAATTTAGTATTGAATTTGGAAAACAAAATTAAAGATTTTTCTCTTACAGTTTTCTTAGCAATATTAACACAATTAAACATTAGTGATAATTTTTTTTTATTTTAATGTTTATCAAAACATTAATACTGGTAAGTTTCCATACTGTAATTTTACATGGATAACCTGTAGGTGCTGTTTATGTAGTGGGATGGATTAGATACTGATTTTAAATGCCAATCATAAAGTTAAAAAAAAAACAACAGTTTAAACAAATTTCAATTCAAACAATTAAAATTTTCAAGCATTTTTGTGATTAAAAATGCTACGTTAGGCAAAATTATAAATTTGAGAGAACTGCTCATAATTTATTATCAATACAATTTGTTTCAAAATATTTTAATTCTTTTTGAACTCCCTCAAAATTACTCTTCATACTCTTATTTTCAGAGCAATGTTAACAAACTAGTCTAGAAATAAAAGAAAGTACAAAAAATTAAAGTTATTGTAATTAAAATGTTACTGTTGAATCATTTTTTCAATTTTTGTTTTAATAATTTTGACTGTGTAACAAAATAGTTAATTTTCTTCCAGTTTATTAATATGAAATATGGAAAATTTATTACAGGACAAATTTAATAAATTTATATTTTTGTAACAGATTACATGATTTATTAATAATGAATACAGTACTAATTAAAAGAAATTACTTTTCCTCATTATGGAAGTTGTATAGCTTTACAGTTGCAGATTTATATTTTTATATAATAAAATGTCTTATTTTAAATCTTAATGGTTTAGTTATTCTAAAAATATTATTTTAGAATCACTACAGTGTACAAGAGTACTGATATATCTCAGTACTCTTGTACTGTACACTGTAGTCTCACGTTATTATTGTGTTTTTACCACTGAGGAGGAACTGTTAGATAATACAGTTTGAAATACATAATTTGGGTTGGCCAGGCCTGATTTAAATAATACTGTAATTCTAAATCAGTTTGGCCTAGGACAAACTAATTAAGCCTAAAGTATTTAGGTGAAACTAGATTGTGCTAGGCTAAACTAGTATATCCTGACATGCATAGGATAAACTAGTTCGGCCTGAAATCGGGTTTGGCCGGTAACATACGAGGGTAGGCTGAAAAGTAATGCACACATGCTTGTAGAGCGCAAATGAAATGATTTTCAGAAGTGTGTTAGGTGGCATATGGAAGTAACATTCCCCCTCTATGCGTATGTGCAGTTTGAGGTTGTTGCATTCATTCAGTATATTTTGAGAAGTGGAAATATGGAGACTTGTTTTAGTGCTATGTCAATGCGAGTTAAACAGCGTGCTGTTATCAAATTTTTAACTGCTGAAAAAGTGACTCCTAGTGAGATTCATCGTTGTTTAAAGGCTGTTTATGGTGAAAACGCTGTTGATAGGTCTACTGTAAATCGATGGATAATAAAATTTTGTGGTTGTGAGCCTGGAAAAGTCATAATTGTTGATGAAACATGCAGTGGACATCCGATCACTGCCACAGACAATTACCATTGCCTCTTGTTGCAATGTTTAATTCTTCTCAGTACATACAGACTCTAAAACACCTCCGACGTTGAATTTGTCATGTTAGAGGCAGCCTGGTGCCAATAATCTTGCAACATGACAACGCTCGTCCACACCCTCCTTATTCCCCCAATTTTGCGCCTTGCAATTTTTTTTTTTTTTCTACTCGAGGTGATCATTACACCTCGGATGATGAGGTGAAGGCAGCTGTCGCGTCCTGGATTTGAGAAAAGTCAGAAGAATTTTTCAGTGATGGAATGAAAAAACTTGTTACACATTGGGAGAAATGTGTTAGCCTTAATGGTGACTATGTTGAAAAATAAATATATGATTTTGAAGCTTAAGAATTGTACTTTAATGTACTTTTTGCCCTATCTTGCTATTTGTTTTTGTTCGAGCATGTGTGCATTACTTTTCAGCCTACCCATGTATATATGTATTATATCATTAAATCTGAAGTTATAATATCTAAGGGTAATAGAAGGGTTTCTATGCAAGCATAGAAAATTTTTATACAAATTAATTCTTTTGATATTGCCAGATATAATAGATTCACTTTAAAGTGACATTTAGGAGACTTGTCAAAATGAATGTTATATTGAATTTTCTAAATATTTTATGATTTTGTTGGGAAGATTCATAAGAAAAAAACTTTAAGTTAAAAAACCTAGCTTTTAAAATTACATTATTTAAAATTATTTTAAAACTTAATTAAAGAATAAAGAAAAAAAATATTGTAATAAATTTATTTTTAATTAATAATTAAATGACAGTTGAATTAGAAAAACAAAAATTAANATTGTACATTCGTTAAAACAAAGATTTTTATTGAATATATTTATTTTTTCTGTTTAATATTATTGGGTATTATACATTTGCATTAAATTAATATTAAAATACTAAACATTTAGGTACCCACGAGTCAAGATATTAAACTTAAAAGTCCAATAAATGGCATCCGAATCCATAGCGCCAATGAATGTATCCCGTATCAGTTCGTTCAAGAAAACACCTCACGATGCAATAGCACTTCCGGCGATCACAAACTATTGTTAGTGAGACAAATCTACCTCTCGTTGGCCAGACAATATTTTTCTCTCCTTAGGCTGCAACTATGCAGATGCGAGCGAATTTTCCGAGTGAGCGAGAATATGTGGCAAGAACAGGAGAGATTCGATAAATATCAAACCCTATCAAATATGTGCGAGAACCAGAAAATCGCTCACGCCAGCAAGATTTCTCACTTCTCGCTTGTGCATGGTTTTCCTTTGTGAAAACTAAATCGCTCGCAACCTCTCGCTCGCTCTAAATTTGCGTCCGCATAGTCGCACCCTTAGCCACCTTGAATTTTCTCACTCAAACTGACCTTATACCGACCAGTGGTCGACCAATCTGTGTCTTCGCTCGTCTGTAGCTCTACGTCAGGTTAACGTATCCTTTCAACTAAAGAAAGTTTGATGGATGAACTTTGTGAGTTAGACAATGATTGGAAGCGAAGTGATAATGTAAAAAAAAAGCATCATATTCGACCATATTCTGAAATTCTCAATGAAATAAAACAAAAGTGTAAACAATTAAAGATGGATACTTTTTTCGAAAAGAGATCCAAAACTAAAATTTTTTAATAAAAACATTTAAACAATACTACTTCCAACACACCGTAACTTCAACAGACTTACTTCTAGAATAACCAAAACGGTGCTAAAATCGCTTTAATTTGTTTCACTAACGTTTTCGAACCTTTTGGTTCTTCTTCAGGTGAAAAATGGGCAAATCCGTTAAGATTCGATTGAAACTAAAGCTGACATCCTCCACAAGAGGCCGACAACCGCCTTAGCACAGTACGCCACGGACCCTGAGATACAGCCGTTATTTGATCAAGCAAAGATAATTTACACCACTCACCAAACACAATATTTGCGCTTGATGGAAGCGATTTTTATACATAAAGCAACTCAGGGTAAAAATTGTATAAACAGCAAAGATGAAATATCATTATCAGTAGCGTGGCAAACCCTGATATATGACACATAACGGGAGGAAACGTAGGCTCATAACGGCGCATGCGCAAAAGAAGACGACGATTGCACGAGTTTCGGAGAAGTTCCATGTTCGGAATTCTTTTAAAAAAAGATTGTTTCAATCGAATCTTAACGGATTTGCCCATTTTTCACCTGAAGAAGAACCAAAAGGTTCGAAAACGTTAGTGAAACAAATTAAAGCGATTTTAGCACCGTTTTGGTTATTCTAGAAGTAAGTCTGTTGAAGTTACGGTGTGTTGGAAGTAGTATTGTTTACTAAATTTTTTATTAGAAAATTTAGAAAATGATTTTTTGAAATATTAAAATTTAAAATAAAAAACAATTGATATCTAAATAATGCTTTTTTTTAAATGTTGCATTTTAAAAAATTATTTTGTAACTAGGTGTGGACTTGTATTTTATGAAAGAAGTCTTTTATTTGTATCTGTTAATTTGACAAAAATGTTTTAGATTACTAAATAATTTTGTTTTCTATAACTTGAATGTTTAAAGATTTTTATTTATAAAGTCAGAAATTTTTCTATAATGTTTTGATGAAAAGCCTGATTTAGAATTCATGTAATATTTTTAGAAATTTGCTATAATGTTTTCTCTCTTATAAAATTAACATTTTATTTTTAGATCTCTTCATCATGGATCCTACATAGACAAACAAGATGTATTAGCAGTTATTGATGGAATTTGCAAGGAATCTCTTATAGAAATTAATATTACTAAGTTTTTACAAATGATATGTGGACATATGAAAGATTTCTGTATGAAAGCAACTGTAGAACAAAAACGTCATTCTTCAGAAAAAATAAACAATAAAAATAAATGCAAAAATGAAAATGATGCTAAAACAGAAAATTTAACTTCAGAAAATAGTGAAAGGTTTGTAAAATTCGTGTAATTTAATTTATAATTTAATATTTTGATATTCACAACCATTGAATGGATATATATTAATTATGTATTATATATTGGAAAAGAGACTATGTAAAATTATTATTATTATAAATGCTTATTATAACATATTTCTATAAACTTTAGATATGTGATTATAAAAGTCTTTTCAACAAAATTTTAAAAAGTTCTAGCTGCATTTATGCAGACACAAGAAGAGGGAAAAACAGGTAAAAGAGAACTTTTGGAATCAGAATTTGCACTCACAATGCTGTTTATATAAAAGAGGGAAACAGTGTTCTTGCATGTTACACACAAAAAATGCATGAGTTTCCGTCATTCTTGAAAGTTCAAATTGCTGCATATTTTTCTCTTCTCCTGAGTTAGTGCATTTGCAATAGTTCAGCAGCCTTACTTTTTCACAACAACATCAATAGAATGTTTACAATGAAGCACACTGGCAATCAGGTGAATGTGAAGAAAAGGGC